GTTGAAGACATTGAAAGCAGCGAACCGACATCAGTGGCGTTCTTGTTGTCGTTTCTTATCAGATCAGAATGCTTGAAACAGTATGTATGCGGAGTTCGACTGCGTAGTGTGTGTTGATCATAGTGGCTCATCTTCTCCCTTCCTCAAAATAGATCCANCCAACTTAAATTTTACCACTAACCTTGTATGCATTGTGAGTTTGGCAGCGGTCAGTGAAGTTCGCCTCACTGTATTTCGCTGTACGCTGATGATGATTGGTATTTGTATACCCTGTGTAAGCACATGCTTACATTTCAGTTAAAAATGTACACTGATGATGATGCAAGCCTGTGTTGATAGACGGCGTCGCTTATGCTTCCAGGTATGCAGTGAATCATTCAACTTCATATTCTTTTGTTTTTCAGTGCATTTTCCCTATCGCCTGTTATCTTCCCTGATCTACTTAAGAGTAATTTCATTACTCTGCCGCGGTTTATCAATTGTTTGCCGTATCTCTTATTCCCGCAAAGAATACTCACAAAACTGCGATATTCGTAATACTTTATGCGAGAATTTCACCCATAAGATTCTTAACAACTCCAGTCATCCCAACCTATCTGCGTGTGATTCCCGCAGCTGGACCCGATCCAGTTATCGCTACTTATCCTCTCGCATAAACGTTTACCGTTATTCAATATTTTGCTTGCATTCTAATTAACAAGGAGACGGTCCTGACTGAATTAGTTTTAAATCTACAGAGACGACCTTTTTTTAGCCTTTTATCATTGCTGTGTCTGGTTTTCATTTCTTTTAATCCCCTTGTAATGGTAAACAATTTTTGATTGAAAAGTTGACATAGTTTCTTGCACAAGTCATTACAATACAGTGTGTTCGGCCGATCTAGTTCGCAGTGATCGGTCGGTTCTGCCAATGTATAGTTCGTCGCAGCTTCAACCGAAGGCGGTAATGCAATGGGTGGTCTACAGGACTGGATGCCGATCTTTGAATCGGGACAAATGGAGGCACTGTGTAACCAGATGGAAACGTAATGCGGGTTATACGTACGTATGTATGTACGTATGTACGTATGTGGGTTATACGTACACGACCAGTGAGAGTATGCAAAGGGAACTCCTCTCGCACTGTTTGTTTTCTGACTTACCTGTTCAAAGTAACTTGTATAGTTTCATCAGGAAACTGTATTTTTGTTTTCTTAATGTTGCTGGCTCAAACCTCGAGTCTTCACCATACCCAGTGAACTTCGACTGTGCACAGTAGGAATGCCGTCATCGCAGGTATCAGCCAGAGTTTGGAAGCACAGTTTCCCCATAGCGAATTTGAATAACGAAGCCAAAAACACAGGTTTGCACAATATATCCTGGATCTTTTCGCTGCATCTGTGTTCACGTACGTACTGCAGTTTATCATTAGTATATGTTTAGAAATAACGGAATCATAGACCGAGAAAAATTGCGGTCAAAATGACCCACCAAACGAATTCGTTACCAAGGTAGTTGCAGAGTGATGAGCCATTCACATTGTTTGCATATTTGGGCAATTTTGCATGGCTAGTGCCTCCGCGCATTTAAAAAATCTGGTATTGTTTGTACTGTAGAGGATTCTGAACTATGACGGTACCTTGGTAACACGTGTGTTTGGTGAGTGATTTTGACCACAATCTTTCTCGACCTATAATTATGTTAGTTCTGATCATCTGTAATTAATCACGTAAACTGCATTATGCATGTGTACAGATTTAGTGAAATTATCCAGTATACATTGTGCAAACCCGTGTTTTTACTTTTTCTTTTCAAAGAAGATTATCACAAACATAACGAACCGGTGATCAGGCTGTCTCGTGTCAGGTTGAGGGAGTACAAATTACGCAAATCGCAGAACACGATTCACTCACATCAAAAAGAGGGTCAAAGGGAGTTATGTTTCTAAGGTCTCGGGTAAGAAAGACAAGACGACGCCAAACGATGATGCAATCGCACTGAACAAATTTATTGTTTGACTACTTACAAGTAGTTATTTTATTATCGTAAATTCACGTTCCACGTGTGGTTTACCCTATGCACTTCTATTTGCTGCACCGTTGGCCTGTACAGATTCCTTTTAATGGCATCTCCTTGAAATAATAATTCTAAAGCTATCTATCGTTTAAAGCGTTTCTCGTCTACGTCCTCATTCTTTGTCTCTCCAAATAGCTATGGATGGTATTGCATCTACCAAAATCGAGAAGAAGAAGAGACCAAAGAAGGAATCTCGCGCCCGTTCAAAAGACTCCGAAACCGCTATGGAGTTGGGTGATAGTGATGAAGAGGGGGCTGACAACCAAAATGACAATGATGATGATGATTATGACGATGTAGACTTAGATAACAGTGACTTTGATGATGACGACGATGACGATGTTGTCACCCCACGAAAATCGAAGTACGTTTGACAATTTGTAATCCTCTTCTGTGCGCTATTTACGGGAAATGTATGAATTTGAACCCTTATGAGATGCTCCCGTCTATATATAAATGATTCTCACATTAGATGTGATAGCCTTATTTGCCACTGACTCCACTTGCTTTCTTGTTAGTAGTGTGTTTTCATCAACCGATATGTACACACCAGAACAAAAAAAGTTGCACCCGGCCCCTAGAATTTTTGTTTATCTCCGATTCCGCATGAACGATCATCACAAATGTCGAGGATTTATATAGCCACTAGATGGAAGGCCAAAATACGAAATTTCAACAATTTCCTCTTCATTTTTAACTCAAATTTGTCCAAAAACAACAAAATTTTCACTAAGACAAACGTATTCCAGCCCCTATGGACTTCACACACTCAACTCCGTCGGGTGCATGGGGCTGAAGGCGGATCGTGAGAAGCGGACCGATAATCAACCCACCAGCGAAGAACACAATCTAAACACAAAGGTCTTGCTTGACAGATCTCCACAAGCTCCCACATAGATGCTTCGTTCACCCTCCCGCGTTGGGTTTACGCCCCACTGTCAAGTGGATCAAACTTTTAAGTCAAGGGCTCCGGTTAGGGTTCCCAAAGAAAAAAACTCTTTTCGTCGGTGTGGGTTACCGCGAAGTATGCCGTGCCCTAAAGTCTTGGGCATCTATTTGGAAAACCCTCCTCTCCATCTGTCTAGTTCTTCCTCTCAATCCCGAATAATCCCAAACGTCTGCTGTTTGAAAGACCCATCAGATATCGCTCAGCGTTTTACCAAGAAGTCCAAGTATTCAGAAATTGCAAGATTTTTGAAGCCTAAATTCCCTTTTCATTTTGTCGAGTTCAATGTCCGTACACTCTATCAGATCGGTCAACAAGCTGCCTTAGCCAGAACCCTTGACACTTTCCATTTAGATGTTTGCCGTCTCTCTGAAACACGCATACGAGAGCCCGCTGCCATTATCTCACTGCGTTCTCCTGATCCAACCTAAACCTCACGCTTCATTCTTCGTGTGTCAGGCGATTCGGTGTCCGAAGCTCGCGGTGTTGCTGATGTCGGGATTGCGCTAAGTGCCACGACTCAGCGCTCACTTCTTGACTGGATTCCAGTCAGTAGCCGACTGTGCACCGTACATCTCAACGGTTCAGCACAGATCAACAGCTACAGAACGAAGCGTCGATGTCTATTCGTCGTGTCGGTGTATGCACCGACCGATTGCAGTACACTTGAAATCAAGGATGAATTCTACATGGACCTTTCTCGATGACGTGGAGACGAGGCATGAAGAAATGTACAAAGCGATTAGTTAGAATAGGTGTCTCTCGTCTCCCGGCTTGGGGTCCAAAAGACTCCGAGACTGCATTGTTGGAGACACTGAAGGCCATGGCTGCGAACTGACATCAATGGCGATCATGCTGTCACTTCTTATCAGACCAGAATGCTTGAAATTGTATGCACGGTTGGGCTGTGTACTCTGTGTTGACCATAGAGGTTCGCTTTCTTTTCCCGTCCCTAAAAATAGGCCCTCCTTACACATTTNCTGACCACGGATTGCTCTTGTCAAGCAGCAAATTCTCGCACAAGAAACGACACCACCCTACGTGGAAACCAGCAATCTCTTCACTGCCATGGACCCAGATCGACCACATCATTATTAGTTACCGCTGGAGAGGGGCGATTCAAGATTGCCGTTCTTACTAGTCAACACTTGTGGATACGGACCACGCTTTGCTACGAGCTAAATTCTCCTTACACCTGGCAAACAACCGTAATAAAGCCAGCGAAAACGGATAACTACGATACGTCAGAGATTGCTGCAAATCAACATTTGTAGTGGAACTCTCCGATCGCCTGTCAATTCGGCCACCAGCCGAAGGACTCAATGAACACTGGAAGCAAATCAAGGAAGCTA